ATACCCCCTGATCCCCCTGTGGCTCTGTGTGTGATAGGGGGCGGGGCCACAACCTCCCTATCTGCCCTGCTCTGTTCGTGACAGGGGAAGGCGCACCAACCCCCTGATCAGCCCTGCTCTGTGCCTGATAGGGGGGAGCTCCCCAATCCCCTGATTGCCCTGCGGCTCTGTGTTTGACAGGGTGCGACGCACCAACCCCCTGATCGGCCCTGCTCTGTGTGTGACAGGGTAGAGCCATAACCTCTCCATCGGCCCTGCCCTGATTGTGACAGTGGCAGCGCCCCAACCCCCTGATCGGCCCTGCTCTGTGGGTGATAGAGGGTGGCGCCCCAACCCCCCTCCATGGGCCTTGCTCTGAGTGTGACAGGGTAGAGCCATAACCTCCCCATTGGCCCTGCCCTGAGTGTGACAGGGTGCAGCGCCCCAACCCCCTGATCAGCCCTGCTCTGTGAGTGACAGGGGGCAGCGCCCCAACCCCTTGATCGGCCCTGCTCTGTGAGTGACAGGGGGCAGCGCCCCAACCCCCTGATTGGCCCTGCTCTGTGAGTGACAGGGGGCAGTGCCCCAACCCCCTGATCGGCCCTGCTCTGTGCATGATAGGGGGTGGCGCCGCAACCTCCCTATTGACCCTGCCTTGAGTGTGACAGGGGTGGTGCCCCAATCTCCCTATTGACCCTGCCTTGAGTGTGACAGGGGTGGTGCCCCAATCCCCCAATCAGTCCTACCCTAAGCATGACAGGGGGCGGCGCCCCAACTCCCCAATCGGCCCTGCTCTGAGCCTGACCAGGGGCTGCACCTAGGGATTGGGCCTGCCCTCTGCCACCTGGGAGCAGGCCTAAGCCAGCAGGTCGTTATCTCCCGAGGGGTCCCAGACTGCGAGAGGGCACAGGCTGGGCTGGGGGACCCCCTCCCACCCTGAGTGCACAAATTTTTGTGCACCGGGCCTCTAGTCCTATATAATAAAAGCATAATATGCAAATTGACCGAACGGCGGAACTACCGGTCACTATGATGCGCACTGACCACCAGGGGGCAGATGCTTAATGCAGGAGCTGCCTCCTGGTGGTCAGTGCGCTTCCACAGGGGGAGCGCTGCTCAGCCAGAAGCCGGGCTCATGGCTGGCAAGCGCAGGCAGGTGGTAATGTGCGAGGGGTCTCGGATTGCGAGAGCCCCGGACTGCGAGAGGGGTGCCTGACTGCTGGCTATTCCCAGAGGGTCCCGGACTACGAGAGGACGCAGGCCAGGCTGAGGGACTCCCCTCACCCCCTAGTGCACGAATCTTGTGCACCAGGCCTCTAGTCAATTATAAACTGAAAAACAACTTTTGAAACCAGATTTAGTTAAAGATCAATGCAACTACTTTACATATAAAATGTTCAATAGTTTTCATGTCCTTACTAGGGTATCAAAGTAATTTTTTTCTATGAGTACCTCTTTCCGTTTTAATTCTTCAACTGTTTTCAATGCATTACTGAATTCTTGAAGAAGTTTGTTGTGTGTCAACTGTAGAGTGGCTAATTTGGACCTGTTTAAAAAGAAATTGAGAAATGGAATCTTGGGGGAAAATATCAGAAACTTACAGTCTTGCCTCTCAACCTTCTGAACACTCAAGGAGCAAAATCTTTTCTCCTACTTAAAAAAAAAAAGGTTTTTATTGATTTTTTTTTTTTAAATAGAGAGAAACATTGATTGTGTTGTCTGGGGACCAATCCCACAACCTGGCTATGTGCCCTGACTGGGAATCAAATCGGCGACCTTCCAGTGTATGGGACAATGCTCAACCAACTGAGCCACACAAGCCAGGGCTCTTTTCTCTTACTTTTACCATCCCACCACCTACAAGCATTTTCTTACTCTCAAAGAAAACAGTTTTTTCCAAAAAATCAAAATAAGATTACAAGTAATTTTTATGTTTGTTATAAAACTTAAATTTTATCTCCTCAGAAAAGTCTCCTAGCAGTCCTTCAAATAAAAGAAAAAAATGTAAATGTATTTTCAAATCCTAATTTCAATCTGTATAAAAGAGCTATTCTATCTTCTTTGTGCAAGTAGCCATTCAATCACAGCATACTCACTTTTCCTCTTCTGTTTTTGCTTGCTCCATTTTGATATCTGATCGCATGCTTTCCACTTGTAGCTCTAACTTTTTGTTATTATAAACAAGCTCTTGCTTTTCATTCAGCTCTGATGGGGTTGCAGAATTTTTCCTTTCAAGGGCCTGACATCTAAGAAAGATAAAAATAACATGAAGATATACAATGCTCCTTCATTTTCTGTGGTTTTTAAACAAATCCAAAGATTATGTAGCAAATATAAAGAATTTTGGGATTGCGTTTTTCAAGGATTTAGTAGTACAAAATAAAATATTCTATCCTCCTTCTTGACTAGAAGCAAGTAGTTTTTCTGAACCCCTATGCCTACACATAAAAAAATGTACATATTTTTGAACCCTTATGCCTAACATAAAAAAGCACAGATATAAGATCATACAAACTACTGCCCACTTGTAATAATTAAGTAGTCATGCAAATATATTTTTGTTTTTTAGTCACAGACCAGAGTAGTAAATTGCCTGAAGATGCCTCTCATATGGTGATCCATGGATATCTTCTGTATTTTAAAAAGTGATGGGTTCTGTTAAGCAAAAAGACTATGACTTCTGACAAAGATTCAACAGGGGAAAAGGAAATACCCTAAATTCTCTTAAAGACCAAAAAAAGAATTTCAATATAATAATAGCAAATATCAATCAGTGATAATTATGTGCAAGGCATCAATGCCAAGCATGTTAAACATGATCTCACTTAATGCATTATGACATAGGAATTATGACACAAATTTTACAAATAATAAAACTGAGGCTCAGAGAGGTTAAATAAATAACTTGCCCAATGTTAATACCACAAATAAATTGTAGATCCATATTTCAACCTAAGGTCTGTTTGGCCAAATTCTTAGATATAACTGCCATGTTGGAAATTACAGCCTTGGAAAATTAACTCGAAGCAAACATGTTTGTATGTTATGCTGGGAATATGTTTGCCTACTAAGCCAAAAGAACAACATCAACTTAACTTTTTTAAATTTGGGGGGGTGGGGGTAACCTCTTACATCAAGAGAAACCAGCAAATGCAAAATTCTCAATTTATATGTTAGCCTTTATAATTATTTGAAAAAAAATTTTTTCTAAGTAAATCTCACTCAAGTTCTTGATATTTGCAGCTTTCTTTTATGCTTGTTCACATGTCAGCTAATGTAAGTCACAAAAGATCCACTTCACTGCTTTTTACAGGTCCTCAGATAGGCTGGTATGCTTAACAAATGTCCCCAAACAGCAGAATCGGAGTCCCCAGGCCCCATTCCCCCACATCACTATAAGTATTTCATGTTTATATATTAACCTGAACATTAGTGTTTTCTGAATTCATATTTTAATTAGATCTCTATTTTTGTTTTGGTCAGTAACACAGTAACAAAACTATGTTTTCATACAGTAATATATTATATAAAAATGTACATTTTATGAAGGAAGATAAAATTCATCTCTCATTCTTACTTTTCTTGAAGTCTCTTCTTCATTAGCTCAGCTTCACTGAGTTTCATATGAGCCTCCTGAAGCTCCTTAAACAGAGCTGTCACCTGAAGGTTCAAGGCTTCCACTTCACTTCCAACCTGTCGTACAGAAAATCCCAAACATAATTTGCATCACATTAAAAGCACCTCTTTGTGGGGAAACAGTGTGAACCATTAGTGTCCAGTTAAGACTGACTGGTGATAGGATTAAACTTTTGACAATGAATGCCCCAAATATCTTGTATAAAAAAAAAGTTTTGGATACAACTGTTCCCTCATAGAGTATTAATAGATCAATTGGGATGCACTTGTGATAATAACTTTGCCATAATTAAAATTAATCCTGATCATAGTTCAGGGGATCATAGATCACAGTGGTGTCAAAGCACAATCTAATTTATTCAATTAGCAACTCAAACCCATATTCCTGTCAGGTTTATGTTTCTAGTAAACTCAACTCTTTTCTCTGTACCACCTTTCTCCTGGAAGCTCTAGAAATTTTGTCAGTGACTTTTATGGTGCCTTGGAGGTCTCAGTACTTCTTTATCTATTATTGGTTATCAAATAGTTTTAGTGAACTGGGTACTATTACTCACGGGTTGTCCCTTCATCTCAGTTTTTTAAATGTTCTCCATTTTCTAGAAAGTAGAGGGTCTTTCAATATATATTTGTTAAATAAATGAATTAGCTAAATTGTATGGGTTATTGTGGCTCTTACAACTTCCTGGCTTCATCAACTTTCCCTAGGTTTAAGACTATGTTTTCAGACTCCAAGATAGTCAATGAGTTGCCATTAAACAATGAACTTTTCTCATTGAAACTATTTTACTGAAACCAGTAGTGGGATAGAACCAATATCTTTCACTTCTATTCAAGTTTCTGAGCCATATCCTCAAATGATCTCATTATAAAGTAGTCAACATTCTTTCTCATTTACCAGGCCTTTTCACTTAGGAATTCAGGAGAGGAAATCAGTCAAGAAGAGGAAGAAGAGTGATTTCCTAAAATCACTAGGTTAGGAATACATCTCACTACAATTTACAATGAGTGAAATTCAAATCAGGATAAGGAACTATGACAGAAGAAGAAAATATTCAATGTTAAAATTATTTCTAAATTTCTAAAGCTAATAACACATCACAAGATTCGACTCCAGGTTCTGTACTACTCTTATGTTCGTTATGGGTGTGAGAACAATCTTACAAATGTAGTACCCACAGTTTCTGTGTCTTTCTTCTCTTCTTCCTCTTTTTCTGTGTTCCCCTCTGTTTGGGTCTCCATCTCCGAACGATCATTGGCTTTCTTTTCAAAATCTGAAATTCTAAAAATTTACAGAATATAGAGAAATTACTTTATCTTTGATTTCAAAAGGAATAACAATTGCAGAAGCACCAAAAAGAACACTTTTCAAATTTTGGATAAAGGATCAGGGGTTTTAAAAATCTCTTTGCATTCAATGTATTAGCTTTGGTTTAGCTTTCATCCTAAAATTGGCTAGAACTGAATTAAGAGATGAATGCACACAGAGATAAAAGGTATAATTCATCCTGAATACTGAAAAACACTGCCTCTTTTCATGTCACTGACATAAACACAAATATTTTAAAAATTTGTGTGTATACACATGTGCATGCTTGTGTGTTACATGAGTGTGTGTGTCCTTTATAAGAATTCAGCAAAGGAAAGACTTTTCTTGTTGGACCCATGTAAGTTTACAAGTCCCTAAAAACAAACAAATGTAGCAACATTCTTCCACTGAATCATAATCAATGAAAGCCCCAATAAAAATGAAAGAGACTTGTGGTTAAAGATGGTAGATTGAATATATGCAATTTTCCCCCTACCCCAAATGACTTAAAAAGCCATATACTACAAGAACAAAGAGAAAGGAAGAAGAAGAAAAAATAATAAGATTTGGGAAGCATAGATGTGAGTGGGAACTCACTTGACAGCCCCAAAAGTCTGGATCTGAAGCCAACAGAGCCAAGATGTAACTCAATTTGAACCCAAAAGGCTCAGGGGTTGGTGACAACAGGTACCTCTGGGTAAAGAAAGGGTATGTTTACTAGTAAAAAGGACTATAAGATAGCAAAATAAAGGGACCCTTCATTAGTCAGAGTTGAGGGCTAGGGTTTCCTACTGAAAACCAGGGAGCTTACACACAGAGTACTGAGGACCTCAGTCTTCTATTAATCTCAAGAATCCTGGCATCTAGAAGAGTACCCTCCAGGCAGGAAACTGGAAGTTTCCTCTGGAGTATGTGACCAGGAGGATTGAAAAGATTTAATGTTTCTAACATGGGGTTCCCTAAGGAAATCTCCAAGCCAGATCTCCCTACACGTGACACAGTTAGCTTCTAATTCCCCCTCTTATATTTGATCAGACAGCAAGATTACCAGACACTTGAGGAGAATCTTAAACAGAAACAGAAAAAAGTAAATGACAACAAATGCAATTTACTTAAATTAGAATATGCTGGAATGGGGGTTGGAACTTCCAAAGAACTATCATTAATATCCTTAAAGACACAGGAAACATTACAACCAAAACAAAATGCAACATTATAAAAAAGGAACATTCAAAAGACCCCACCCTCCCTCCAAAAAGGAAGATGAAAGTTGATCAAATGTATCAGAAAGGAGAAGAAAGAGAGAAAGAAGAACAGAGTTAAGGAAATTAGAGGATTTGTCCAGGATTTGTCCAATTCATAATGAGTAGTGTTAGAGAGAACAGAAAAAAAAATGAGGATAAGAGATTACACCTAAATTAATTCAAGACAATTTTTCAAGAACTGAAGGACACAAGTTTGCAAAATGAAAGCCCAAGTGTCCAGAATAAGTGCATGAAAAAGAGGCTCACTCCAAAGCACATGAGAAATTCCATTCCAGAAGATTAAGAATCAAATTATAATGGCTTTCTTAGCAGTAATATCAGAAGGTATAATACAATGAAGTAATGCATTCAAAATTCAGGAAAATTATGTCCAGCATAGAATTTTATATCTAGCCAAACTATCCATAAAGTATGAAGATAGAGAGATTTTCAGATATGCAGATCTTAGAAAATATACTCCCCATATATTTTTTTAGTAAATTAGAGATGTCATGAGCCCTATTTGAAAAAAATTTTTTTTTAAGATTAAGAAAAACAGCGGATTCAGGGAACAGGTGATCCAACACAGGAGAGCGGAAGGAATTCCACAGGAAGATGGGAAAGGGAGATTCCAAGGTAACTGAAATACAGCAGGTCCTAGAAAGCAAACAGGCCAGACACCAGGGAAAAAGTCATCAAGAAGAAACTACTACTGGATAGTACTAACATGTTTGAATGTAACTGACAGATTTCCCCATTTGGAAAGGGGGAAAATAAGCAAAAATTTGAAAGGTAAATATGCAGAGAGTTAAAAAATACACACACACACACACACACACACACACATACATACACACAGAAGGAAAGCTGGTCAAGACATAGAGCACGGCTTAACTGAGAACTGTGTGTATGTGCATAATAAAAACACTGATTCATGATTTAACTAAGTTTCAATGTATTATAATCAATTTCAGAGTTGGGCTAGGAGGGGAAGAAGGGTCCAGAAGCATGTGTAAGGTGGTGATGATGGGGGTGAAAGACAGTTAAATCTTCATTCTTTACAGTGGGAGGTCAACAGATTATGTTTAATATAGGGGGGAAATTTTAAGTAGCCATTTAAGCCTGATATATGAAGGTAAATATCAAATGAACCAGGTAAATATGTTGAAAATGGTTGTGTGGGAAGCAGGAAAAGGAAGCAAGGGATTTGGTCAAGGAGCTGCTATTTTCCCATAAGAAACCATGTAACAAACAAGTCTTTATATGAATGCAAAACTGATTTTTAAAAAGGAACTTAATGGTAATAAAAAATAAAACAAACAATAATGGTATCTGTTGCAAATTGCCAAACCTAATTGGTGCACAGACACTGTTCCCAGCTAAGCAAATAAGTGGATTAAGATCCAATTGGGGCAGGGTTAAAGGAGAGCCTCTACTATTCTGTGAGCAACAAACCAAACTGAATTGGGGTCTCAGGCAATTTGCTCATATGATTCAAAGACAGACAGAAACTCCCAGATTGGAGAGGGCTCCCCTGAGGGCTCCCAGATTGGAGAGGGTGCAGGTCAGGTTGAGGGACCCCCACACCCCCCAGTGCATGAATGTCATGCACCGGGCCTCTAGTATGTGTATATATACTAGACACTTTAACCCAGTGATGGCGAACCTTTTGAGCTTGGCGTGTCAGCATTTTGAAAAACCCTAACTTAACTCTGGTGCCGTGTCACATATAGACATTTTTTGATATTTGCAACCATAGTAAAACAAAGACTTATATTTTTTATATTTATTTTATATATTTAAATGCCATTTAAAAAAGAAAAATCAACCCCAAAAAATGAGTTCACGTGTCACCTCTGACACGCGTGTCATAGGTTCGCCATCACTGCTCTAACCACTAAGCCACACTGACCAGGGCCTAAGTTTATACTTTTATTATTAAAGCTAATCATGTTGTCTAAATAAGGATGAATTACTGGCTACACTTGACACTTAGAATTGTGTACAGAACTTGGGAGAGGAAACATGCCTGAAATCAACTAACACACTGATTACTCATAACTATTAAAGCACTAGAGGCCCAGTGCATGAAATTAGTGAACGGGTAGGATCTCTAGGCCTGGCTGGTGATCAGGGCCGATCTTCAGGGCGACTGGCGGGGCAATTGAGGGGGCCCCCACTGGCACCCGCCTTGGCTGGCGTGGGTCCTGCGGGCTGGGGGAAGCTCCTGTGTTGAGTGTCTGCCCCCTGGTGGTCAGTGAGTGTCATCACGACTGGTTGTTCCACCGGTCATTCCACCATTCAGTTGATTTGCATATTAGGCTTTTATTATATAGGATAATATTTTACCTTTAAAATCAGCTGTAATAAGATGGCAGAGTAGATAAATGCAGTACTCACATCCTCCCAAAACCACATCAAAATTACAACCAAACTACAGAATAACTATCATTCAGAACTGCATGAAATCTAGAAGTCCTATAATTAAGGATATAAAGAAGCCACACTGAGACTGGTAGGAGGGATGGAATGCAGAATTGGCTGGTCCCACTCCCACATGCGGCAGATAAAAATCAGGAGGGATAGCTAGGCTCCAGAGGTCCCTTGTGAGGGTGAGGGGTCCCAGCCCCACATCAGGCCCTCCAGCTCAGGATTTCAGTGCCAGGAAGAGAAGTCTCAAGTAACATCTGGCTGTAAAAACCAGCAGACTCACTCACTCTGAGCTCCAGTGCTGGGGCAGTAGCTCAAAAGGCACAGGGACATATGGGGAGGAACTGAAGTGTCTGGTTTCAGGGCAAGAGCTGGAGGGGCAGCTTTTTCCAAGGGAGAAGTACTGGTAAAGGCTACTGCTTCTTTTTTGAGCCCTCCCTACACAGAGCCAGCAGGCAGGCACCATATCTGAGTCTCCATCACCTTGATGAGTAGTTATATTTAATGGTGAAAGTCTAAAAGCTTTCCCCCTAAGATTAGGAACAAGACAAGGATGTCTCCTCTCTCCACTTTTATTTAACACTAGTGACCCAGTGCATGGATTCGTGCACATTGAAAGAAAATTAATTAGAAGAAAGATTTGTGCGATAATTACGTTACTGCAAAAAATTACGTGTCAAAATAGTATGTATAATACTAGAGGCCTGATGCACAAAATTTGTGCAAGAGCAGGTCTTCCTTCCCCTCGCTGCCGGCACCAGCTTCCCTCCGGCACCCGGGACCCAGGCTCCCCTCCAGACGCCGGCAGGCACCCAGGACCCAGGCTTCCCTCGCAGCTCCAGCTTCATCCGGAAGGTCGTCTGGTCTAATTAGCATATTACGCTTTTATTATTATAGATTGTACTGGAAGTTCTAGCCACTGTCATCAGGCAAGAAGAAAATATCCTGGTTGGTAAGGAAGAAGCAAAACTATATTTGTAGATGACATGATCTTGTATGTAGAAAATATTAAGGAACTCATTAAAAATTATTAATGCTAATAAGTGTGTTCAGCAAAGTTGCAGGCTACAAGATCAATATACAAAAATAAGATGTATTTCTATAACTAGCAATGAATAATCCAAAAATGAAATTAAGAAAACACCAAATTAAGCACCAAAACACTAGAATGTATGGGAATAAATTTTGAAAAAGAAATGTAAGACCTGTTTTATGCTGAAAACTATAACACATCACTGAAAGAGATTAAAGATGACCTAAATACCCCATGTCCATGAATCAGAAGACTTACTATTGTTAAGATGGCAGTGCTCCCTAAGTTGATCTATAGAATCACTGCAAACACTAACAAAATCCAAGCTAGCCTTGCCTCCACCAGAAATTAACAAACTTACCGTAAGTTTATATAGAAATACAAGCAACTCTGAATGGCTAAAACTATCTTTTAAAAGTAGAAAAGAGTTGGATGACTCACACTTCCCCACTTCAAAATTTACAACAAAACTATAGTATTTGTGACAGTGTAGTACTGGCATAAGGATAGTTAAATAGATCGATGGAATAAAATTGGAGGTTTAGAAATTAATTTTTGCCTTTATGGTCAATTGATTTACCCCAAGGGTACCAAGACACTGCAGTGTGGGAAAGAATAATCTTTTCAACAAATAGTGTTAGGACAACTAGATATCTATACACCAAAGAATGAAGTTGAACCCTACCTCACACCATAAAGAATGAACTAAAAATGGATCATACACTTAAATGTAAGTATTAAAACTATAAAACTCTTAGGAAAAAACATAGGAGGGAATCTGTGTGACCTTGGGTTAGTGAGTGGTCTTTTAGATAAGATACCAAAAGCACAAGAGACAAAAGAAAACATAAATTGGACTACGTTAAAAAAAAAGTGTGTGCCTAGTTGGTTTGGCTCAGCGGATAGAGTGTTGGCATGCGGACTGAAGAGTCCCGGGTTTCTTTCCGGTCAAGGGCACATGACCGGGTTGTAGGCTCGATCCCCAGTGGTGGGCGTGCAGGAGGCAGCTGATCAATGATTCTCTCTCATCACTGATCTTTCTATCTCTCTCTCCCTCTCCCTTCCTCTCTGAAATCAATAAAAAAATATATTTTTTAAAAAGTGTGCTACAAATGATACCATCAAAGAGATGAAAAAGATAACCCAAAGAATGGGAGAAAATATTTGCAAATAAAAAGTCTCATAAAGGACTTGTATCCAGAATATATAATGAGCTCATAATAAGAAGACGGCAATTTTTTTTTAAATAGGCAAAGGATTTGAATAGATATTTCTTCAAAGAAGATGTATAAAATGGTCAACATGAAAAGATACTCAACATTATTAGTCATTAGGGAAATAAAATCAAAATCATAGTGAGACACCACTTCACATCCATGAAGATGGCCATAATTAGGAAGACAGACAATAACAAGTGTTGTTGAGGATGTAGAGAAATTGGAACCCTCCTACATTGCTGGTGGGAATATAAAATGGTGCAGCCACTATGGCCTAAAGTTTGGTAGTTTCTGAAACTTGAGTATATAGTAACCACATGAACCAGCAATTTCACTCCTTAGTATACACCAAACATAATTTAAAAAATAAAGGGTGTTCCAAAATTCACGCAAGAAGTAATTTTGATAGTAAACACAGGTTTATAATTAAAAATTGTAAATTTTTTATTGATTCATAAAATATACAGTATAGGGTTATGTATGGAATAGCATATCGGGTAAATGGCCTCCACGGCTGTGCTGGCACATACACACTCTTTTGTTGAAATTTTCCATGACTGTTTTGCATAAATGTGGCTGAATTTCGATGAGGCTCATTTTCATCTTGATGGAGTGGTTAATCGACAAAATTGTCACATTTGGGGTTCAGAAAATCCACGAGTGATTGTTGAGAAACAAATGCATCCACAACGTGTCACTGTTTGGTGTGGATTTTGGGCTGGAGGCAACATCGGACCATTCTTCTTCGAAAATGCGGCTGGTCAGGCAATAACAAAAAAGTGTGTATGTGCCAGCAAACCGTGGAGGCCATTTACCCGATATGCTATTCCACACATAACCCTATACTGTATACTTTATGAATCAATAAAAAATTTACAATTTTTAATTATAAACCTGTGTTTTCTATTAAAATTACTTCTTGTGAGAATTTTGGGACACCCTTTACATTAACACAAAACATTGTGCATGAATGTTCAGAGCTAACATTCATAACTAGAGGCCTGGTGCACAAAAATTTGTGCACTCGGGGGGGTCCCTCAGCCCGGCCTATGCCCTCTTGCAGTCTGGGACCCCTCGGAGGATGTCCACCTGCTGGCTTAGGCCCGTTCCCTGGGGGATCAGGCCCAAGCTGGCAGTCAGACATCCCTCTGGCAGCCTGGCAGCCCTCGGGGGATGTCCACTTGCCAGCGGGAGCAGGCCTAAGCTGCAGTCAGACATCCTTAGCGCTGCTGAGGAGGCAGGAGAGGCTCCCACCACCACCGCTGTACTGGCAGCCATCAGCCTGGCTTATGGCTGAGCAGAGCTCCCCCTGTGGGAGCGCACTGACCACCAGGGGGCAGCTCCTGCATTGAGCATCTGCCCCCTGGTGGTCAGTGTGTGTCATAGTGACCAGTCATTCCAGTCGTTCTGCTGTTAGGATCAGTTTGCATATTACCCTTTTATTATATAGGATAGAGGCCTGGTGCATGGGTGGGGGCCGGCTGGTTTGCCCTGAAGGGTGTCCCAGATCAGGGTGGGGGTCCCCACTGGGGTGCCTGGCCAGCCTGGGTGAGGGGGCTGATAGCTGTTTGCAGTTGGTGACACCCCCTTCAGGGTGGGGGTCCCCAGTGGGGTCCCTGCGCAGTCTGGTGAGGGCTGATGCTGTTTGCAGGTTGGTCAACCCCCCCCCCCCCCAGTGGGGACCCTCACCCCATGGAGGTTTGGCCAGCCTGGGTGAGGGGCTGATGGCTGTTTTCAGGATGGCCACACCCCCTTTAGGGTGGGGGGTCCCCACTGGGGTGCCAGGCCAGTCTGGGTGAGGGGCTGAGGGCCGTTTTCAGGATGGCCAAGCCCCCCCGCCCCAGCAACGGAAGCTCCCAGCCTCTCCTTTTTTTCTTTTATTTATTTATTTATTCTGGGATTTATTTACCTTCTATAATTAAAACTTTGTAGCCTTGAGAGGAGCTTAGAGCAGGCCAGGGCAGGCGGGAGGGAAGCTTGGCTTCCTCCATCGCCAGGGGCAACCCACTCCTTTCTCGCTCCAGCTCCGTGGCCACGGCTGGCTGAAAGCAGGTATCTGGGGTTTATTTATCTTCTATAATTGAAACTTTGTTGCTTTGAGTGGAGCTCAGAGCCGCCGCGGCAGCTGGGAAGCTTGGCTTCCTCCATCATTGGGGTAACCAAGCCTCTTGCTTGCTCCAGCTCCGTGGCTGCCAGCCGCCATCTTGGTTGGGTTAATTTGCATATAGTCGCTCTGATTGGCTGGTGGGCATGGCTTAAGGCACAGTGAAGGTATGGTCAATTTGCATGTTTGTCTTTTATTAGTGTAGATAGGCACAATAAACAAACAAACATGTTCATCAATTGATGAATACACAAAATGTTGTCTAGTCATACAATGGAATATTATTAGGCAACAAAAATGAAAAACCAATACATGCTATATCATAGATAAACTTTGAAAACATTACCTGAAGGCAATCACGAAAAACCACGTATTTTATGATTCTAATTATATGAAATGTCCATAATAGGTAAATCCTCAAAGAGAAAGATTACTGAGAGGAATGAGCACTAATGGCTACTGGTTTTCTTATTTGGGGGAAAAACCTTCTAAAATTACAAAGTGCTAATGGTTATATAACTCTGTAAATATCCTAAAAATCATTGAAATGTACACTTTAAAGGGATGAATTGGATGGTATCTTAATGCTATCTCAAAAAGCTGTTAAAAAAGCAACGTATGTAAATTCTTTGGTTAATCTCTCTCTACCCCTCAGTCCCCTACCACCCACCTACCCTCTGAGATTTGTCAGTCTATTCCATGCTTCTATATCTCTGGATCTATTTTGTTCATCAGTTTATGTTGTTCACTAGATTCCACATATAAGTGAGATCATGTGACACTTGTCTTTCTCTGACTAGCTTATTTCGCTTAGCATAATACTCTCCAGGTCCCCCCTTGCTGTCTCAAAGGGTAAGAGATCCTTCTTTTTTACAGCTGCATAGTATTTCATGGTGTACACAGCTTTTTTATCCATTCATCTACTGATGGGCACCTGGACTGTTTCCAGATCTTAGCTATTATAAATAGTACTGCTATGGACATAGGAGTGCATACATTCTTTCTGACTGGTATTTCAGGATATATATGCTTCTATGCATAACCCATGGACACAGGCAATAGTGTGGTAAATGGCTAGAGGGGGGCAGTGTGGAGGGGGTCAATGGGGAAAAAAAGGGGACATCTGCAATACTTTCAACAATAAAGATAAATTTAAAAGACTTATAATTCAAAAAACAAAAGCAGTGTATGCATATTTCAAGTTGCCTATTTCCTACCTTCCTTTGGCTTCTTTCAGTGCCTTTTCAAGCCTTTCCACCTTCTGGGTCCCTTCCCTCAGGCAAAGCAGGAGCTGGCGCACAGTTAATTCCTCAGATTCCAAACAACTCCTGGCACCTTCTGCAGATCTGCTCCTACATCAAGGCGGTATAGAGTTAGAAAACAAAAATGTCAGAGTCTAAGAATATAACTGGAACAAACTTAAAGGAACTACTTTCCAGAATACTCTCCAGTTAACTCTCATTTACTGACAAGCAGCACTGGCCCTTGACCCCCGTGCTACAGGCCTCCATGCTTTCCAGGGAAAGAGTGGAGACTAGGAGTAGGCTTGCCTTACACTGCACGTGCTCACAGCAGCAGACCACAGGACCCACACAAACAGCGAAGCAGGGGTAGTCCTGGTTTCCGGTGCCCAGCTTTCCTAGAAAACTAGTCTCAAGAGAACCACAGTCAAAGTACACAGCACAGCCCTAACTGGTTTGGCTCAGAGGATAGAGCGTCAGCCTGCGGACTCAAGGGTCCCAGGTTCGATTCCGGTCAAGGGCATGTACCTTGGTTGTGGGCACATACCCAGTAGGGAGTGTGCAGGAGGCAGCAGATCGATGTTTCTAACTCTCTATCCCTCTCCCTTCCTCTCTGTAAAAAATCAATAAAATATATTTTTTTAAAAAAGTACACAGCACACATGCTGCTGGTGGTGACATGCAGGCCACCAGCCTTTCTCCACCTTGACAAAAGCACCACATTCTCAAGTCAAGAAAAAATTCAAATAATTAGAGCAGAGAAATGTAGGCATTATTGGTATGTCAAATATTTTTCTTGATTTCAAAATGTGATTAAATCTAGAGGCAGTTCAATGACAAGCAAACAAAACCATGACCATCACTACAACAACAAAACATTCCAGATGACTATGCTGATGCCAATGGCAGCTACTCTTTCAGTAATCTATTCAAATTCACCCACCTAATAAACAGCCAGGAGTAAATTCTGGTCCCCAACTCCTAAGCTCAAACTGCAAACCTAGAAATCACTATCTGATTCCTTAATATAGTCTCAAACACGATAAAGAAGCTGCAATAAAAAACAGCTCTGTGGCCTGAAAGAGGAAGTGGTCTGTGCCTATGGGTCTAAATGAGGAGGAAGTGGCTTAGAAATTTCAAACAGGGCTTCCTTCCTTCCCTCCATTTCCAGTAAAGTCTTCTGATATTTAAAAAAAAGTAATATAGAGAAAAACTGAGGAATTTCTAACTAAAAATGGGAATAACGTTCATTTATGCCAATTGCCCTGCTTGAAGGAAGGGTATTAGCTAATACTTATTTTCTTCCTTATACCAGGGCTTGGGAGCATAACAGAAAAAACAACAACCCATTTTCATGTTTTATAAATACATTCATCAAGTTATAGAAAAAAGATATTAAAAGTCTAGGAGGTGGGGAACGGGGTCATCTGTAAAACCCTCAACAATAAAGAGAAATAATTCCTTTTTAAGTCTACGAGGGAAGAGATCCTTAGAGAAACTTTCAGATAACTGTCTGTTTCTTGTAGACTAATACAGTAATAACCGGCGTATAGAGGATGAGCCAACAGCCTGCTCTGGGGAGTGCTACATGCAAGTCTCAGGGGCCCAGTCCTTCTACCATCCCCTCAAAGTCCCCCCATCAATTACAAGGTCTACTTCCTAATAAGTACTTAGGAGTCTTGACTTGAGACTCCACAGGTAAAATACCTGGACACTTTCAAGAAACACCCAGAGACTCTGCGCAGTGATAGTCATTGCTATGGAAGATTACCCATTAGTATCAGTCACCATGGCTTGTACTCAGGAATGAACAGGGCAGAGGAAATGGAAATATCCCACTTATCAGGCTGGGCAGCCTGGTCCAGCTCAAATTGCACTGTATGCAAATTAGGAAGCAGAGGTCTTTCACTTTTTATCTGAAGGAGAAGTAACACCTTGAGGGTGAGGGTTAGTTAGCCTGAAAAGGCATCAAACATTGTTCTTATTCTCTGCCAGTTTTAGCTACAACATTAAACAGCATTTTCACCCAACATTCTTGAGAGGTCCTGGTATAAATTAATAATAAGTGACTTTTTCGGCCCATGTTTGACCTCTCAGTGGGGACCTGGAAGTGACAAGACTGTCCGGTAAGCCTGTCCAACAGCCCAAGTCTTTCTTCACATACGTGTCAATGGAGTCAATTCTCGTGGGCCCAAGACTCCTCTTGATTTCTTTCACTGCCACATCTGCTTCTCCATCCTGTAGAACCAGAAATGAAAGGGATATAATACAATATGTCTACAAGACAAATGTTATCAAAAGATAAAAAGGCAAAAAAAGAAAAAGTCAAAAGATCAAGAATTTTGATGACATTCAACCTAAGGAGCCTACCAAACATTTAAATGTGAAATGTTTAAATTCGGTCAGTCAAATGGAATGGAAATGTACCCTTCCCTCACCCCACATGCCCTGTCAGGATTATAAATATCTCGACGAAGGTTGGTCTCCTCTCATTCAGCACAGTCAACCTGACCCCATCTCATGAAAGCTTATCTCCTGCTCTCTTTGGCAGTTCCCTTCTTTCTTAGGTTAAGGTCACATGGAGCTAGTGACAACTATTCCACACACCTTTCCTGTACAGTCCTTCAAAATGCAAAATGCTAGAATTTCCTGAAGCAAAGTTGAAAAAGAGGCAGTTTTCTGTGAACAAGGCTCACAGAACACAAAATCCTATTAGAAACCTTATGCATCTTGAGCCATTTAGGAAACCAGAGGATTAAGATGACTTCAATGACTTGAAGGGCAATTCTATTCTAATGAGGTAGCAGGATAATCTTCCAAAAATGCACAGATGTTCTGGATAGTTCTGAATGTGTGCATTCTTCCTAAATTTTGCGCAGTGCTATCCAGTTCACAGAAGCAAGGCCAAGAAAAACAGGTTTACACTAAAAATAACTGTCACTCATCAGTGAGGGAACATACCATGCTCACCACGCGCCCTGGAGGCAGGAGCCTTTTGGAAACTTCTGATAGGCCCGTTGAGCTTCCTGGATGTTATCAGTTATTTGCAGAAGGTTAATGCTCTTTGATCAAACTTGTGTTTCCTAATCTTTAGTCACTTGCAGAAAGAATATTCTGGCAAAGTGTGCTTTCAAATGGTATTTTAATTTTCTTAATTTCAGCCACTTTTAATGCTTAGATTTACTAGGGGGCATGGATGACAAAGTTATTAAGAGCCATTCTCCAACTCTATCAATCTTTAGTGCAGCAAATGAATCAGGAAGTAAAGGAAGTCACACTCTAATATTTCAGACACATCAGTAGTTTAGCTTTTTGCAAATTGCCCCTCCAACTCCTTCACCTGTCCCCCCATCTTCAAGGTACATTTTTCTCTTTCAGAGACACAATCTCTTTTTCTTTATCAGACATGCACTTTGACAAAGCTAAAATGACAGTGTGTATGACAGAGGATTGGACCTTCACATATTTTTCCCCTCTTCTCACTCTTTTTTAGTAGCAAGAAGTCCTTTGTGGTTCATCCACGATTTTAGTAGGACTGCCACACACCCAGACACAGCCACGATGGGTGCTGCACACAGGCTAGGACATGCCATCTCGCTTAGCTCACTTCATTTCGGCAGCACATAAATGGGAGTTAGAGAGCATCAGCTTCAAACTCTGTTCTCAGGTTCCTGAGTAGCTGCTGTTAGAGAAGCTGAGATAGTCCCGCCCCCTACAACCAGCAGAGCTCTGCTCCTTTTCTTCACTTATTTTTAACAAACCATGGTTCCTCACAAGACCTTGTTTGAAAAGAGGGTTCTAATATTAAAAAATGTTTTAAAAACATTTACTGCATCTGATTACGATTCTGCTCACCTAAGTGAAATGCTGAACACAGCTTTGAGACCTGGTCTGAAAACGATTATGCTTTTCTTTTGCCTTTTAGGTCAGTCACATAAATGTCTGATTTGTGAGGACGAAAAAAAGAAGGACTAGCTATTTTGTCATAAAAGGTAACAGATGTTTTTCCATTTCAGCTATGATAACCCTCACAAGCATTGTGTTATACTTAAAAAACAAGAGCCAATTTACCTTTGCTACTGAAATGTCCCCACTAAGTGGCTTCCCTGTGTTGAGAAAGAAATGGTGGTATTTATATCAATTGCCTAGGTGAGCTTTTGGAATTTGCTTAACACAAAACCAAAATACTTACAGCCATCCTTATTTCAACAAAGGAGTCTTCGGAGGGGCCTCCGGAGCTCAGCTTGAGTTGTAATTCAGACACAATGCCCAGCAGATCTGCCTTTTCAGCTTGAAGTCGGGACACTTGGGTCTTCAGTTGTCCCATTTCCTGTTCTGCTTCTGCCTCGGGGACCTGGGGGTCCCCAGTGGGTTCCTGGAAATGACCAAGAGGAAAGCACATTAAACTAAGGCCCCAGCACCAAACTCCAGTGCCCCATGCCCACTGACAAGGCAGTTTCTCAACAACTTGATCCCCTGTGCTTTACAGTGAAAATTCTCACGTTTCCTTGGCAATTTATTTTGACATAACATTTAAAATAAACATTTTAATATAATTTTATTGTATTCAAATAATAAAAAAAATTTTTAAACCTCATGACAAGAAAGACATGCTTCCTCAGCATGCTGGAATAATCTGATATCATAATAACAACCAACTACAATGGAGACTTGACTTGGGGTGGTGAACACACAATACAGTGTACGTATGATGTGTTGTAGACTTGTGCACCTAAAACCTGTATAATTTTGTTAACCCAAATAAATTCAATAAAAAAGATAGTGTTTCTGAAGTAACTTTTTAATGCTTTATTTTTATTATTTTTAAATCAATTTTAGAGGAAGGGAGAGGGAGAGGGAGAGGAAGAGGAAGAAGAAGAGGGAAGGGTGGGGGAGAGAGAGAGATGAAAGAGAAAGAGTAATCGCCCTGACTGGGGATCTAACCTGGAACCTGGGCATATGCCCTGACCAGAAATGGAAACCACCACCTTTTGGTGTACAGGATGATGCTCCAATCAACCATGCTACCCCACCAGGGTGCTTTTGCAGTAAGTTAAAAAAAAATTAAAAAACAACCAAACTTTGTCAATGGCAGAATTGTAAGTTATAGTCCCAAAATACTAGAAAATAAGGACAAAAAGCTACCACAATTCAACCTCTTGCTCCCCCCCCCTTCCCGCACACACGAATGTATACCCATCATCACTCTCCCCGTACCTGTCATGTCTACTCAGAAGGCAAAGCACCAAGGATATCACCTGGTACAGTACTGGCAAAACACAACGAAAGGTTCAAAATTCTCCCAGGAATGTAGTCTGGGTACTGTAAAACCTTGTGCTGTTTTAAGCTTGTTAAACGTTAAGTCCGGTGAGAAATAAGCAAACTGACAATTCAGAGGCTGGTAACAAAATGGAAAAAAGATTTTCAGCCCCTATAAACATTAATTATAAAGGTTAATATTTCACTAACGTCAAGTACATGTTGTGTTCCTGCTGTTGCAATTACTGAATATGACAAAGTCAGAAGAGCAAGACCCTGTTTAGCTGCGGTGTTTTGCTTGGCACACTCTGCTAATCAGTGCATGTGTTGCCTTGAGTAGATTCACTTCATGTCTTGGCCTCAGTTTTCTTGAGTTAGAAAGAAAGACAGTACCCCATGGTCTCTGTGGTCTCTTCCAGCTGTGACCTTCTCGTCCTCTCAGATTTCCTCCTCAGGAAACCTTCACTGCTCTTGGCACCACCAGAAATGCATGCACTTGTGATTATCAGATGACGCAACACATTAGAGAATTGACCCCTACACACAAACACATTTACCCTCTGTGACAGATTTCCTAAGGAGTGGCAAACAGGTCCAAAGGCTAGCAGTGGAACCAATAAGTGTCAGAAGGGCATGTGCCTGGATCATAAACCAGCTTGTTTATGAAATATTAAAAAGTGTAGCAGGGAAGTGCCCCTCCACCATCAAGATCATGCTCTTCTTCATTTGCAGCAGTCTCTTGCCAGGAATCTACCACAAGCCTTAGAGAAAAGCAACTCATTGTGAAATAAAGTCAGGTGGACAAAGAAAGGCTCCAAGCTTATGCTATCTCTCAGTAATGACTCACACTGTGGAAACATACATGTAAAAGAATGAAAACATACAAGGAAGGACACTGCTCAGCCTGGAATTAGGAAGTAAGCAGGTGAGGGCAAGACTATGCCACATAGGAATCTTTACATTTATCAACCTGACCTCTCGGGGGACATTTGATAGAATGGACTTTTAAAAACTACCTTGGCATAGCCCTAGCTGGTTTGGCTCAGTGGATAAAGCATTGGTCCTCAAACTGAAGGGTCCTAGGTTCGATTCTGGTCAGGGCGCGTGCCCTTTAAAGCAACCAATCGCTGTGTCTCTCTCACATCGATGTTCCTCTCTCTGTCTCTCCTCTTCCCTTCCACTCTCTCTAAAAATCAATGGAAAAATATCCTCAGGTGAGGATTAACAAAAAACAAAACAAAAACACTACCTTGGCAGAAAGGTAAGAAAGTTTTATTTTATTATTTTAAAGAAGCCTTTAGAGCTTTATTTGAATTTTCTGTCTCCTTATGAAAGTATGTTCCTGGGAAGAGAGTTTTAAACAAGTGTCTGAGGACCAGTGATATGAGGTCATGACACTAGAATCTCGGACTGTCAGGTTAATTGTCTTTTTGCACACTTGTGAGCATCTCTTAATTATCCTTGGGAAATTATGAATCTATTTATTTGTCCATAAACACTGTGGAAACATACATGTAAAAGAATGTAGGATAACACTTTAAGTTCCTCTCCATTTTAACACTGAGAGTCTTTTCCCTGCCTTCGTGGAATAGAACTCTTATGGTTTATTTTCCCAAATCTCAACCCCCACTCCACTATTTGTTACACTGTCATTATTTTTGAGCACTTACCGTTGACCTTGTGGGACACAGCAGCTTCCGGTCTTTCTGTGTATTTGTGTAATGTCTCTATCCTACTGTCCTGGCAATGTGTACAGGTTGTTATGCCATTTTATAATCCAAGAAGAAAAGTCTATCTAATGACCTTTGCCTAGTAATCTGCAATTAAGAGTTAAAAAGTACTCCTTAGAAAAACTAATGTATAGTAATTCAGTGAAATCGGACAGACCATTAATGCCTCAGCCTCACCCTGAGGATCAGAAGGCAGCTCTCTAAAGGAAATTCCAACTCCCTGGCCTGGAGTGGCACAGAGGCATGAGAAGCCCTGATGGCTGGGGGGCATTTCCTGTAGAAACAGTGGCAAAGATGGGTCAGCATGAATGAGAGAAGTCCAAGGCCTTAAAACAGCGGTTCTCAACCTGTGGGTGGAGACCCCTTTGGCGGTTGAACGACCCTTTCACAGGGGTCGCCTAAGACCATCCTTCATATCAGATATTTACATTACGATTCATAACAGTAGCGACATTAGAGTTATGAAGTAGCAACGAAAATAATTTTATGGTTGGGTCACAACATGAGGAACTGTATTTAAAGGGCCAGAAGGCTGAGAACCACTGCCTTAAAACCTTTACTAAGTCAGGAAGATGAGCGCCTAAATTTAAAAAATCATCTCAAATGACCCATGAAACAAAAATTAAGGAAGAGGCAAGGAGACAGGTGTGGGCCTGGGAGGCACAGTTTGGGGGAGAAAGCTGATGACCAAGAGTCTTGAAGAGCTTTACGTGTCTCTTTGTCCCAAACTTCCAAGTCCTTGGTCTCAAGGACTCACTTCTGAGTCCTGCTTGTAGCTCACTTCAACTTATCATCTGGATTGAAAGAAGCTGTCTAGAGCTTTAGCTTCTGATCTCAACTTCTTCCAAAACCTACAGGCAGACTACCTCAGGTAGACAAACTGCTTCTGGAAGCTTCCCTTTTGGTTTCAATGTGATAGGCACCAATGGCTGAAGCCAACTGTTAGCTCACATCCCAAAAGGCAAGGGATATATCTGTAAGATATTTCATTCCAGAGAACAGAAAATTACTCATGTATTCCAGGTGATCATTTCTTCAGAGTCCTGTACCTCAAAAATATTTGGACAATGAGAGATTTCCCCAAGAAAAGTGACTTAATGCTCTTGGAACTGTAAGGCACATTGAAGCATCAGAGGTGATAAACCCTGTCAACAGTGAAACATTTCCAATACAAATATAAATGTATTAAAGCTGAATGTTTCCATTGTCCCATGAGCATGAGTTGATGAGTAGGTCATTGATATAAACTATGATCTTGTTCTAAAAAACTTTTCATTCATTAGATTATTCAATATCATCCCTTTTTCATTATTTTCTTTCCATTGTATTTGTCTGTATTCTTTACTCATCTAAGAAATTACAGATCAACAAAGTTCAAAGTAAAGTCTCAAGAAAAATCACTGATATCCAGGATTACATCTCCTTCAATTAACCCAGGGCTCCTGCATCTTCCAAAGGGTTATTAAGTTGCAGGTTTGGACAGTAGATATCCACCAAAACAAATAATACGCAGTGAGCGTTAGTGTATGGGCAGAGGCTTCATATGTATTCTGATTTGTTTTTTTCACTAACATCTTTGACACCCAGTCTTGGTTGTGAGCACATTTCCCAGATTCTTTGGGTCAATGAAAACATGGCAACCTTATAAAATCTCCTATCACAACACGACATTTGTCAAACCATTTTTCAGAAGTAAATATAAAACTTAAAGCAAAGAATCTGTTTTAGACTGAGAGAAAGGACAAGGTCAATAAGTAAAAATTCTGAGTTATAATAAATTTTATTTTATTATTTATGTATGTATGTATGTATGTATACTCACCTGAGGGTATTTTTCCATTGATTTTTAGAGAGAGTGGAAAAGAGAGGGAAAGACCCATGAGTATATCAATGTGAGAGAAATATCAATCTGAGAGAAGCATCAATTGGTTGCTGCCTGCATGCGCCCCGACCAGGGCTGGGGAGGAGCCTGCAACCGAGGTACGAGCACTTGACCGGAATCAAACCTGGGACCCTTCGGACCGCAGTCCTACGCTCTATCCACTGAGCCAAACTGGTTAGGACAGTAAATTTTAAAAATGTAATTTTATATCAAAGATATACATCAAAAACTAACACTTGCACGGTTCTAAGCAGAGGTCCTTCTACTCTGTCTATAATGAGTACAAAATAGTGATTTATAACCTCAACATTCTTCTGATTAAAATCATTATGGTCAAAGATTTACAAATTTCTTTCTCCCAACAAGAGATTATTCATGACCCTTAAAATCACAACCAATCTTCTCAGCAAGAACATTTCTTTCAAGATAATGCAAAACACCCATCTAATCTAAACCATAAAAGGGTTTGATCTAGAAGTCTAGACAAATAAGATTCCACTACAAATATTAATAAAATAAAATCCCAACTAATTTGTCTGCTCACCTCTAATGACCTTTCTGTTTTCCCTTTTAGTTTTCCAAGTTCTTCCTTTAATTTTTCATTTTCATGACTCACAGCCATTAGACGCTCTTTGGCTTCTTTGCTCTGGATCTCAAAAAAATGGCGTTCCTCCTTCTGTTTCTCTGTCCAGGCTGAGAGCTCCTGAAATCGCCCTTTCATTGCTTGGTTATTTAGCTTCATGGCTTCTGTATGGGGTTCAGAGTAAGGGGTCACACAACAAGGGGGTCACACAAACGGGACTTAACGAATCAAACCGCCCCTCAAGCCACTTCAACCTGAGGCTCTGAATTGAAAGATGCCATGCTGGGTCTGGGCCCAAGGGTCAGTCAGAAGAAGGACTGTGGCAAGATGAGTGGTTTTTGCTTCCGGACAGGACTAGCAGGTCTAATGTCTCCTAAGTTTCAATAAAGTAAGATTGACCTGGGTGCCTCCATATAGCACAAGTACCTGTGAATAACTAACTAGACGGACAAACATCTGTGACTCTTAAATTCGAACACTGGACCTGCCAAAAGCCATGGCTTAATATTAGAATCCTTCCTCTTAACAAGGCAGTATTTAGGACCAACTGAAATAATAGCAGCTTTTCTTTCTTTTTCCTTTTAATTGGGCTAAATGTCTTTATGCCATTTCCCTGAGATTAAAAAAAAAATACTTTTTATTCTGACCTGTACCCAAAGGTAAATAATGAAAACCGTGTTAGCCTTACTAAAAGCTAAATGCTGTACTCTTCCTGCCCCCAGGGATTCAGACAGAGAATAGGGAGTTCACCTACAAGCCTTATTACAAAGGGATTAGGTTCGGGAAGGCCTGGGATGAATGGAGAAACACAGGGGCCAGGTGCCAGGTGCTGCTTACCTTTCAGCTGATGGTTCTCAGTCAGGAGTTCTTTCATTTGCTGCAGCAGCTCCTCTGGAGTAAACATGTTCAGGTTTGGGTGAGGCAGATTGGGGGGTCCATTCCCTGTGGCTTCATTGGGGCTGTCCCCCTTTTCAGTCAGGCAGTTAAGTGGTTGGTAGGACATGGCAGCAGTTCCTATGAAAAAGTTACAAACTGAAAAATAGCTGTCCCCACTCTGCAAGGGGTCCCCAAGAGTCCCCCAAATCCATTAGCAATTGCTAATAAATACCCCAAGAGTTGCCTATTTTCTTTCCAAATATAATTGAACATTTATGATTCTACCTTTTAAACAAAAAAGGTATATCCTAGCTTCAGTGTGTATGTGTGTGCATGTGTATGTCTGTGTATATGGGTGTGCAGACGGGTGGAGTAAGGAGCTAGAATATGGAGGAGGAAGAGAGGGCATATTATGATGATCAGGTATCCTAACACAAGTCATTCAAGAGGGTTTCCATATATATATATTTGTATACATGTGCAAAGTATCATTAAATTGATTTTCCCATGCAAATCTTTAAACTCAGATCTCCATATTTTAGGTGAATTATATCTCAATAAAGTTGCTCATAATCTTCATATTTTAGGTTAAGAAGAAAGGGGAACTAACATATTTTGGATGCTTAAACACTGTACCACATGTCAGTTTCTAATCCTCATTGAAACTCAACATACATCTCTTTTACAGGGGAAGAAGCTGGGTTCACTGAGGTGTCATAGCTCACCCAAGGTCACTTAACAAGAGGCGCAACCAAATACAAATGGTGATTCCAAACCCAGACCTGTAATATGATAAAGGAATGACTGAATATTTAGGCTTCAGTATTCGATAATTTTGCAAAGCCCACTAAAAAGACTAGAAAATCCTGCCTAATTATTGCATATTCTGAGGATGTCTGAATACCACTTTATTTTGTAGAGGGGTCAAAGTGGATATAAATAAGAGAAAGTGTATTCTAACTACTTCTGTATGGCCTACTACCTGGGCAAACATAGAAATCTCTTCTAATGACTGGCTACATGTTATAGGAAAACATTTTAAAAATATATATATTTTTATTGATTTCAGAGAGAAGAAGGGAGAGGGAGATAGAAACATCAATGATGAGAGAGAATCATTGATTGGCTGCCTCAAGCACACCCCACACTGGGGATCAAGTCTGCAACCTGGGCATGTGCCCTGACTGGGAATTGAACCGTGACCTTCTGGTTCATAGGTCAACACTCAACCACTGAGCCACACCGGCCAGGCTAGGCAAACATTTTCTTTTTTCACACTTTATGAAGATGATAATAAGCCTTTTCACGAAGAACTGCAGAGTCAGTGAATCAGTCACTGGAAGCTGAGGAGAGAGACATGCACTATCTGCTCTGTCACTATATCATAACATCCACGAGCACTCTCTGTGTCCATGTAATAAAATGTAGCTACACGCCGACTGCAGGGGGGTGCTTCTTCCCAATCCAATAGGAGGTGGTACCTGGGCTCTCTGGAGGTCCCCTGGATCTGAGAGGCTGGCGACCTGCCTTTGGTCTGAAGGAACTTGTAGGTAATCAGAGATGGTGCTACCATTGATGGGACAGCAGGCCCCACGACACTGTCACCTTCGTGACTTCTCCCTAAGGCAGCTAGCACAAAGAAAGGCAGTCTCATGGAATTCCTTAATTAGGATGGCAATTTCAGGAGGTAAAAAAAACCTAATAAAACATAACACTCAACTGTGAGCCTTTTGAAGGCATCTACGATTTACACATCCTAATTCATTTAGAAAAGAGGAATAATGCTGAAGCGTGCTCTCTCAGCATCAGGTGACTAGATGGACTGCTTTTGTTTTCCCAAATAAAATAATCTACATTATTTTGCATGAAATGATTTGGATAAAAATAAATTGAGTAACACCAGTTTTTCTGGCTTTCTATAAAATTCACTTTTGCACAGAATGATGTTGGTGCTAACATTTCATAAAAATGGGCTTTTACTGCCTTGACCAGGTGGCTCAGTAGGTTGGGCATTGTCCTGTGCACCAAAAGGTTGCTGGTTTGATTCCTGGTCAGGGCACATGCCTGGGTAGCAAGCCTGATCCCCGGCAGGGGTCATGCAGGAGGCAGCCAATTGATGTTTCCCTCACATAGATAGTTATTTATCTCCTTTCCCTTCCTCTCTCTCTAAAAATCAATAAAAATATTTTAAATGTTTTTACTGATATTTTTTAGAGAGAGAGGAAGGGAGAGGGAGACAGATAGAGAGAAACATTGATGTGAGAGAGAAACATCCTATATGCATCCTGACCCAGGACGAACCTGCAACCTGGGCATGTGCCCTGACTGAGAATGGACTGGTGACCTTTCAGTGCATGGGATGATGTTCAACACCAGTCAGGGCAATAAAAAAATATATTTTTAAAGTGTCTAAGCAGGTATCTGTAGATGGGATTGATTTCATTGTATTATATGCACACATTTCTTTTTAATATTTTTTCCAAGAGAGGGTTAAGAGGAAAAAAACGAGAGGAGAGGAGAGGGGAGGGGATGGAGGGGAGAAAAAACAGGGGAAAGGAGGCGAGAGAAGGAGGGGGAAAAAAAAGAGAGATTTTCGGGAGAAACCAAGATGGCGGCATAGGTAAACACCGGAGATTGCTGCTTCGCACAACCACTTCAAAAATACAACTAAAAGACAGAACGGACATCATCCAGAACCACAGGAAGGCTGGCTGAGTGGAACTTCTACAGCTAGAAGGAAAGAGAAAAGCATACAGAGACTCAGAGGAGGCGCAGTACGGAAGTAAATTACTAAGGTGTGGAGTGCATGCGGAGCGGGCTGGCGGCTGAGGGCGTGGTTGTCGTTTTCAATCGGGAGGGAGTCTCAGGCTCTGAGCTCCAGTTCCGGGCGAGTCTCTAGGGACCCAGACTCATACGGAAGAAGCGGGACTGTCTGGCATCGGTCGGAACCCGAGGGCAGCTTTCTCTCCGAGGGACTTGCAGCAATTACCGGGACACTGAGAAGCAAAGCCTCTGAGGGCAAGTCTGAGAGCAGCCATAACTGCTAGCCCCGCCCTGTTGATCCAGTGGGACCCGCCCTGCCCAAGCCCTGCAGGGAGGCTTTTGCTGAATAGCCTCAGGCAAAGCCTAGATTAGCACCTCCCTAGAGATCCAGGAGCCAGGAAGCCCAGAGGTCAGAGTGTGACCATCCAGTTTGCAGCTCCGTGGAACCATAAAAGACACACTCAGGGGGCAGACTCAGTGAGCACCAAAGCCCTATTGAAGCAAGTCTTGCCCCAGAGGGGTGTCTCCAGCACAGAAGTTCTCCCACTGCAGACACAGCTGACTCTCACAGCCAATTGGCCTGGAGGTCAATTCCTCCCAGTGATAACTACAACAATCAAGGCTTAATTACAACAAGACTGTGCACAAAGCCCACAAGGGGGTGCACCAAGAGTGTCTACCTCAGGTAATTGGGACACTCAGCACAGAAAGGCACTCTATCGACACAGCGAAGCATAAAAAATGCCGAGACAAAGAAACAGGACACAAATGACAGAAATGGAGGAAAGCAAACTGCTGGATATAGAGTTCAAAACCACACTTTTAAGGTCTTTAAAGAACTGTCTAGAAGCCGCTGATAAATTTAATAAGGCCCTCGAAAAGACTGGTGAGACCGCTGATAAATGTAGTGAGATCTTCAAGAAATCTAGTGAAACCCTCGATGTTGTGATAAAGAACCAACTAGAAATTAAGCATACACTGACTGAAATAAAGAATATTATACAGACTCCCAACAGCAGACCAGAGGATCGCAAGAATCAAGTCAAAGATTTGAAATATGAAGAAGCAAAAAACACCCAACTGGAAAAGCAAAATGAAAAAAGAATCCAAAAATACGAAGATAATGTAAGGAGCCTCTGGGACAGCTTCAAGCGTACCAACATCCGAATTATAGGGGTGCCAGAAGAAGAGAGAGAGAGCAAGATATTGAAAACCTATTTGAAGAAATAATGACAGAAAACTTCCCCTACCTGGTGAAAGAAATAGACTTCCAAGTTCAGGAAGCGCAGAGAACTCCAAACAAAAGGAATCCAAAGAGGACAACACCAAGACACATCATAATTAAAATGTCAAGAGCAAAAGACAAAGAGAGAATCCTAAAAGCAGCAAGAGAAAGAAAATCAGTTACCTACAAGGGAGTACCCATACGAATGTCAGCTGATTTCTCAACAGAAACTTTGCAGGCCAGAAGGGAGTGGCAAGAAATATTCAAAGTGATGAATACCAAGAACCTACAACCAAGACTACTTTATCCAGCAAAGTTATCATTCAGAAGTGAAGCCCAGATAAAGAGCTTCACAGATAAGAAAAAGCTAAAGGAGTTCATCACCACCAAACCAGTATTATATGAAATGCTGAAAGGTATCCTTTAAGAAGAGGAAGAAGAAGAAAAAGGTAAAGATACAAATTATGAACAACAAATACACATCTATCAACAAGTGAATCTAAAAATCAAGTGAATAAATAATCTGATGAACAGTATGAACTGGTGATTGTAACAGAATCAGGGACATATAAAGGGAATGAACTGACTATTCTTGGGGGGGGAAAGGGGTGTGGGGGTTGGGGGAAGAGATTGGACAATAATCGTGCACCTATGGATGAGGACAGTGGGTGGGGAGTGAGGGCGGAGGTTGGGGTGGGAACTGGGTGGAGGGGAGTTATGGTGGGAAAAAAGAGGAACCAATGTAATAATCTGAACAATAAAGATTTAATTAAAAAAAAAGAGAGAGAGATTTTCCTTTGAAAATTGGGCAGATATTTTCCTCCTTTCCTTGCCTTTGTACCTCTACCAAGCTTTCAGACATAACCATAACACAGTTAAAGTGGTTCTAGTTGTTACACAGATGCTTCTCACTTTTTCAGGTTACCCAAATTTTATAAGGACACCAGGAAAAAAGGCAGCGTTATACTAAGGAGACAGTAGTAAAAATACCAGGTGCCACTAACCAGATGTGTGACCTTTAGAAGTCACCTGGCCTCTTGCTATGGTTTATCAACTTGTGCAGCAAATGATAATCATTACAGTTGGTTTCAGCTCAAAAAGTATTCTTAAGCATCTAGCAAGATCACAGTTCAACCCACACCGTTCAGCA